GACGTTAATACGTGTACTGGCTTGATAATAATTATAATGTTTATATTGTCCCGGACTATTAATGATCAGTAACTTAAATACTAAACTACTATACTATATTTATTAGGTAAGTGATTTAATTAACAAAACACTGAATATATTTAATAAAAATATGAACAAAGAACTAATTTAGTATTCACAAAAGGCATTCACAATTCTTTATATACTTGTCATAAAGTTAATAAATATGTTAGTATTTTATGACATGTGTTCTTTTTGATACGACTTGCATACCAATCATATCACACAATAAAAAACTGGGTAATAATACGCCCAAGAATTTAATTGACTATGTTAATAAATTTTATATTTTAAATCCTGAGTGTTAAATTTAATGTCATAAAGTTAATGTACAAAAGTAATAACTTCAGTCATTTTATTTTACAAGTTGGGAATATATTTTAAAAATAACTCAGTTTATAACAGATTTACTGTAAGTATGCACCCCATAACATTTTATTTCTTAAGTAAATTCAGAAAACTAATAATAATAAAAACCTAAATAAAAAACTTAATCGCTTATGTCTTTTTTATCGAGTTGAGTTTTTTCGTTAGATACGATCTTGTCAAATTAATAATTGAGTTGGGTGTGCCTTTGATGAAGTCTCATTAAGGCCGTTTCGTTGGGCAGACCATTGTGTTTTTATGCTCTGAAGAACATTATCGAATAAAACGAGCTAGTCGAAGACAATTCCATTGTTTTAGTAGTGTTCCTGATTAAAGGTCAGGGCCATATTACCCATTAGGCAGGCAAGGCAATTGCCTTAGGCGCCACGAAGAAATAGGCGCATTGTCCCCAACCAACTAAAAAATAAAAATTCTCAAAAATAAAAAAAAAAAACATTATACAATTATGAAAATAATATATTCTTTACTGTTTTTATTATTTTATAAAAATATGGCGTGCTTTGTAATAACGCGGTGTAAAGCCGAAAAAACACAAAAGCTTGCCGCAAATTCACTTTTTCAAGGTGTTTTTTAATATTTGGTAGTTTTTGGTTTAGTTTACCCTTTTTTAACTACTTTTTAACTATTAAGGGCCGGTTTATCAATATCTGGTTTAGTTCCAGTTAGTCTTTCTGACAGTTAAATTCCATATCGATCGTTGTGAGAACAATGGTGCCAGATAACTAACTGCAACTTTAACTGGACATTTACACTTTTTATTAACATTATATTTATTATGTTTGTATGTTATTTATATTTTTAATAAACCTAGTTTTTGATAAAAAGTATTTTAATTCATACGGGATAATTTGGTTAGTAAGCTCGGGCGCCCTTAAGATAACAGATTGAGGTGTCTCTGATAAGCTTTTCTAAAATTTGCCCTGGGCCCCGTAAGTATAGTATCTAATAATAGGCGCCAAATTTTAAGTGCCTAGGGCGCAGAATTGCCTTAAGCCGGCCCTGTTAAAGGTTGTAATTGTACAATGCAGTTTAAACTTGTTCACTACACATATTATAATATGTGTTATAACCTATCCTTAAATTAAAAATATTTTATTTCTTAGCTTAAATCAAGTACAGTTGAAACTAAAAATTAATCTTTCTTTAAACAATCAGATCCTATTTTTGCCTGTTAAATGTTCTATTCTGTTCTTAAAGATATAAAACTATACTGGATATATCCAGTATAGTTTTATATCTTGAAGAACATATATATATATAAATATAATTATATTTATTCTAAGATTAGTAACTATTGGTACGACTGGCCTATTCTTAAAAATATCACCCACTCACGAAAGTGTCCGACATTTTGGAAGAATGTTTCTTGTGTATATGGAAAACTAAGATTTGCTTGGACCAAGAGTATTTTATTTATTTTTCCGTGTATAGTTTGACAATGTAATGTACAATTAATAAATATTTAAATAACAATGAGCTACATTTTTCCAAGAGATACCTACATAATGAGATGATTATGATATAATAGGAATTTTAAATGAGTTGTGCCCCTCAGTATAACAAAGCCAAATCATAAATAATAACACAATTATATTTATATTATGTTTGTTGAGTTGAGTAACTCGTCTATGATTCCCACAAGCTAAAAATTTGTAATCATGAATATTAAAATAAAATAATTCTTTGTATCTGCATATACAGGGTGTTATGTAATTAATGTCATATATTAAAATAATACTTTTGATATAAAGTTTAAGGGAAAAATATGCATTAGAAGTTATTTATATTTTTTGTGATACGCCACTGGATACACACTTGTGTTCTGTGAGTACATAGATACCCACCAACGCCAAATTATTTATACCTAATGGTAAAAAGTTTTTTGGGTTTGCCTTACATTTTATATGGAACATTGTTACGGTTTAATACTTATTCAACATTTTTTACTAAACAAAAGTTTCTTTTTAAAATTTAAACCACGTTTCTTTGATTATCCCAAGCAATTGTTCAAAACAAACAGCATTATTGTCTTTATTGTTTATTCTTTTTTAAATTGTTACAGCGCGTGTAGAAAAATTACATTTAGATCACGAACTGTGGACACATTGCCGAGGTTCTGGGTTACCATTAAAATTGGTTTTACGACTTTTTAAAGTAACTGTGCACCAAATATTTACATAAGTAATTGTTGGGTGTTTGGAACACTACAATTTAAACGTTTTCTTCCAATTTTATATACAGGGTGTATACAAAAAATTAGGAATGTCATAAATTAAATATGTGAACTATAAAATAAGATTCTGTAAAGTTTATGGCATTTGTTTGGTAAAATTTATGGTGCTTATTCCAGACGTCAGTTTTAAGGGTCCGCGATATATTATTTGTCCGCAATACTATTTTATGTTTTGTGACATAAAAATGCTGATGTATAGCCCTCTACCGAAATTGTTTTCGCAAAGACGAAAACTTGAAATACGAAATATTCGATTCGATTTCGAAATCAATACTGAAATGAAAAACGAATTAAAAGGAATTCTAATCTCATCTCCGTAATTATGTAAATCGATGTAAAGAAGATTACGCACGGTGCGTTACGCGCCCCTTTTTACATCCTTCATGAAATTTCCAGCGAAAATTATGGGTTTAATTTCTGCAACGAAAAGTGTTATAAATTTTGTTTTCAAGTTTACCTTGGATTAATTTTAAAGAGGAATGTACCAAATTGGTTATAAGATTTTATATTGTGTGTAAATATTGATTTTTTATAGCATTAGGTATATACAGAGCCATTAATAAAGCAATGCACGTTTTTAGACTGTTAAGATTATTGATCTTATTTTACATTGTTTTGTCAATATGTAGAAATGTTTGAGTTATTCTTAATTTAAGATTAACAATCGATTCATATTATATATAGGTAGACTGGTATTTGGAAGACTGTAAAAATGGCAATGCTGTAGACCAATATTATTTTTTTAGGTTAAGTTAAGCAATAATTGTTAAATATTGTCTATTATTTTTTTAACTTTTGCTCGACTTTAAAGGTTAGGATATAATGACCTTGTTTATTTTAAAAGGTAAAGAGTTGATTATCCTATCTTTTTTCTCTATCGGTCTTTGAAAAAAAGAGATAGCATAATCTACTCTTTACCTTTTGAAATAAACATGGTCATTATATCCTAACCTTTATTTAAAGTCGAGCAAAAGTTGGAAAAAGAATAGACAATAATTGAAACAATTATTGCATAACTTGCAAGATACCTTATATTTAATCCAAAAGTAAATTATTGTATCGCCAAGAATTATAACATTTGTATCAAAAAATTTACTCTTGGTCATAAGCTCTAAAGTTGACCGTTTTCGAGAAAAATCAACGTTTATGTTTAAAAACATGGTCAATTTTTTGGAATTTTTTTTTTATCAATTATACAAAATTTATTTTAACGTTAGAACAAGTAACAAAACCAAACGATAATTGCAAAATTAAAAAAAAAATGATTTTGCAAAATTCTTCGCACATTTCAGCATTTGTCTAAAAAATCATTTTTTATTTTTTTTTAAATCTGCAATTATCGTTTGGTTTTGTTACTTGTTCTAACGTTAAAATAAATTTTGTTTAATTAGTAAAAAAATTTTTTTTTCAAAAAATTGACCATGTTTTTAAACATGAAAGTCGAGTTTTCTCTTTAGAGCTTATGATCAAGAGTAGAGCGAGTAGAGGTTGAGGAGAAAAAAACCGCTACCCCTTCAAAATTCCACCAATTATGAGTAAAAAAAAATTTTTTTTCTAGCACAAAACGTGGCTTATTATGAGTAAAAAATGCTTACAAAAGCTGTTTTTATACGATAAACGGTTCCGGAGATATTCGAAAAAAACGATTTTTTTTTTAAATTTCAACACCCTGTATCTCGAAAATTGTGCATTTTAGAGGGTAAGTTAATAGCGACTTTTTTCATCTTTTTGGATGAGCTATCACATCCTGAAGTCCTGCGCATATATTATGAAACACCCTGTATATCAAAAACTGTAGTTTTGACGGTATTTTTGGGGGATGCCATGGTATACCATGGTATAAGTGAACTCACTCAGTTAAGTGTAGAAACTAGTCATTTTTGACTAATTCATTTTTAGAGAGAACGAATTGTATGAACGATATTTAGCTCTTATCAAAGCGAAAATCCTTCAAAAGAAAAAAAAAATTTACAGCAAGAAAAAATAGAAGCAGAAAGAAGAAACACCAAAGGAGCTTTTAAGAGGCATCTTTCAGAGCTCTTTGGTGGCCTTATTATTGAAGGAAAATGATAAAGTCGGTACCACCAAGTGATCTTTGGAAGTGTTATAAGGTGAGAGTTTCTGACCAAGGACGAAGAAGAGTTGATTTCAAAAAAGAGAAAAGCATGAAAAGTTCAAAGTGTTATATCTCGAAGACGATTAACGCTAGGGACTTCAAACAGGGGAGATTATTTTCGGTAAAACTCCAAAATATAGTATTTTGGAGTGAAAAACGAAAAGTATGGCGCGTGGGTGGGGGTAAAATCAACAGGTTACTCACCGTCGTCGTCGTCTTCGTCGTCGTGGGAGCACTCTCTGCATTCCCGGCACACGGGGGCCCTCTGGCCTCTTCTGGCCATCTGCTGCAACGCTAGAAGTTGCTGTTCGCCCAGCTCCATGTCCTTGTAGCCCTCCGGAGGGCTCAAGGTGACCGCGTCGACGAACTCCATGGGAGGCGCGAACTTGGGGCTCTGAGGGTTCTGCTCGTAGCAAGTGCAGTTCGGCTCGCAGCACTGCAACCGCACCATCTCGTGCTGGTTGCACGTGCACACGCTGTCGTCGTCATCTTCATCGAAATCGCACTCCTCCCTGATCAGGATGATGTAGTCTGCATCAAAAAACTCGTTGTTGGTCTCGTTGAAGACCACGCGGTTCTTTTTGTGTTTGCTCTTGCCCGGCTTCTTCAGCAGGGACTTGAGGTTGTCCTTGTCGAGGTTGTGTTTGGGGTGGTTTGTCGTCATGTTGGTGTTTTGGTCGCGCATCATGTAGTACTCCTCCGTGGACGATGAAGAGTCGAACTCGTCGTATACTTCCACATACTGTTTGTCGAACGTCGCGTCTACTTGATGGTGGATTTGCGTGGCGTCAAATTGACAGAACGAGTTTCTGAACACTTCATCCTGCAACTTGAGGTTCTCCTTCGTCAACTTGTTGTGGTTGTCGTCGTAGGTGTCCGTTATCCCGGCCTGCTTGAGCTTCTCCTCGATCAACTTCAATCGCGATCTGTTCTCGTCCACACGCTTGTTTATATCCTTGCTGGTCAGTATCAAAGTCCCCGAATCGAGGGAGTTCAATTCGGAGTTGTCCTCGCTTACTTCCGCCGCAACTTCACTTTCACTTTTGCCGTCCGCCACCGTGTGAAACACTAACCTGCCGTTGTGAAACCTCCACACGAGATGCTGCTGCTGCTGCGCGTCATGTTGCCTCTCGCGGTCCACGTAGCACTGCTCTCTCGCGAATTCTGGCGGTGGACTGCCGCCGCCGCCGCCGTTTGCGCACCCTGCCTCCGGATCGATGGCGGCGGGGGCGGCTAAGGGGGGCGGCGAAGGGGGGCGGGGGGGCGGAGCGGGCGGCACAGCTGATTGCTGCAAGGGGGTGCTGGTGCTGGAGGTGTCTTCCACGTCTTTGGAGCCGGCTTCTGCCGGTGGTTGTTGAGGGTGGTCTGTTGTGGCCATGTTGATGCTGGAGTGGCTGTCCATTACTGGAAATAATGTGTAAAGAAAAAAACTCAAATTTATTAAATCTACTCTCTAAAAATTATTTTTTTTCTTCTTTCAATTTGCAAGTTACTGATCATTAATAGTTCTGGACAATATACAATGTAACCTACATCAATTTAAACATAACCACAATTACATTTATAACTAGTTTAGTTTGTTTTAATCAATGCAACCAATTTTTATTCCTTATTTACCAACCAAATGTTAAAATACAAATTAATGTTGACAAGAATTATAATTATTAGTGGCTGCTTTTTCGCTCTGACAATTAGGCATTTTTAGAGAGTATCGATATTACTAATATCTGCATATTTAAAATTAATTACTATACCATAAAAACCATATAAAATTGTCAAAAGAAACAAGAAAAAATCAAAATTTAACCTACAACTGAGAAAAAATTGTAAAAATTATTTAGTTTAAAATACATTTAATGAAATATTTTTAAAAAATTTATAAAATTACTTTAAGAATAAAATTAATAATAATAACTTATCAAGGTGTCTTATATTTTATACAACTTTTTAAAAATTTGAACAATTTTTTAACAAATGTTTTTTATTTTTTTTTAATCTATAGAAAATTGATAAAATAAAATATTATTAAACCCTATAGGGTTTCTATAGAAAATGTTTTAAAAAAAATTAGACAACAATCGTTTTATTAATAAAATTCATAGAAAAAAATCATAACAAATTCTTTAAAAATTAAAGTTTTTGGAATTGTTAATTTCTACAATCTACAAATATCAACCAATAAAAGATAAAGAGGTTGTAGTAGGTATTGTTTTTGATCTTTTGTTTTTTTCACCTTATTTTGTTTTTAAATACTTAAACCTATTTTTGTCCTCAACATTTTTAACGAAAATATTAAACAAAGATAAAGTCTATTTTTCTAAAATATCTATTTAAAAAAAAATGTGCAACAATTATATTTTTATCTAAAAATATTAATTAATAATAATTAAATTTGTAATACCTGGAGTGATGAAAAATAAAAAAAGTAAAAAATGTAAATAAAAAACAAAAATTTGCTACAGTTCTTATTTTAGGATTTAAAAATGTTTAAAATGGTTTAATTTTATAAAAAATTGTAAAATTACTATACAAAAAAACTATATTTTTTTTATATTAAAAATCATGGAAAAAATTATAAAAAACAACCTACAAAAAAATTTTTATTTCTATTTTTCTTTAAAATGTTAAAACCAAAAATTTGCAATAATTTAAAAAAAATCTTCTATAATTTAATATAAAAATTAAATGAATTAAAAAAACTTTATATTTATAAAAAAATCGTCAAAAATTATATAAATGTATCAAACAATAACAAAAAATATTTAAAACCCAAGGCCAAAAAACTTAACTTTGAATTCTGCATTCACACAACAAAAATATACCTAATATACCAAAGTTGAGTCACAGTTTAGAAAAAAACATTTAATTGTTATCGAGATAATAAGTCTACCATAGAATGTCGTACCATAGGTACTGTTTCGCAATTTTACCAAGGTTTTTCATATTATTGAATTGCCCAAGAATCTCATGTATCGCGCCTATATTTTATAATTTTAGAAGTAGGTATGTAATTATCGTTATTACTAAAGAATTCACAGGTGTTTTTTACTTAAAAATGAATTAGTCAAAAATGACTAATTTAATTGTTATTAGTGGCTACTTTTTCACTTGTACCATGGTTAACCATGGAATACCATGGTATCCCAACATTCTTATGTAAAATTGTCCCCTGAATCCGAAAATACCGTCAAAAGTTATGAAAGTGTCCAGAGCAGTTTTTGAGATATAGTCAATTCCATATTAAATGGAAAATTGACTATATCTCAAAATCTGTTCTACTTTTTTAACTTTTGACGACGTTTTCGGATTTAGGGCACAATTTTACATAATAATTTGCTGTTAAATTTTGGGATACCATGGTATTTCATGGTATAAGTGAAAAAGCAGCCACTAATAAGTTTTAAATTAGTCATTATTGACTAATTCATTAGTCACTGGACAGAATCATAAAATGAACAATTTCGAACACAAAACGAAAAATTAACCAACTACTAAAGGCTCAGATCAATAAAAAAGCACTTGGTGTAGGTGTTTATTAAATGAAATTAAATTAAATTTCGTAACAGTTGTCCACTCGATAAATTGCTCGTTCCAACAAAATTTTACAAATAAAACAGAAGCCACAAAACTCAATAAATAATTTTAATTGCGAAAATTATGTGACTTTCTTTCGCAAAACATCTGTCTAGGATTGCCAATTAGGTGCTAACGGTGCATTTTAAATTAAAGATAGGCAAAGATCGCTCGTATATTAATTAATTAATAATTTAATAAAGTGAGCAATTTTCGCATCTGTCTGTTAAACACCCAATTAATAAACAAAGTCATTGCACTAAGGTATACAGTAGTTTGTATCATTAGTCCATTGACAGAACTGTGTTTACTAAACATTGAATAAATTAATTAGCCGAATAAATAAACAGGAAAATAATTACGTTTTGTTTTAAAGATATTTTATTTGTATTTTCAAATTTTTTGTACATTTGCTGTACCTCAAGTTTATTATTTTATAAAAAATTGAGTTTCACGCCATTTGGAAATTGACTAAGCGAAATCAATTGGTTTAAGTGTTTTTAGCAACTATATATTAGCAAAATTGTAAAATTTTACGCATACAATAAAATTTCTTAAACTCATTTTTTTATTGGTCTTTTTTAAATAGGTACAGAAAATATATTAAAAATACTTATGTTTGTAAGAAAGTTTAGTTAGTTTTGTACTCAAATTTTTTTTATAAATACTAAATTTATGTTATTTTTTTAAACAAATCCTAGTGTAAATAAAACCTTGAAAGGATTATTAACAAGCAAAAAAATATATTTTCAAAATAATTAAGCATTTTTAAATAAGTTTTTTAATATGTTAGTAAATGTGTGACCCAGGGGACCTTTTTTTTATTTTTTCTTTTTTAAGGGCCTATTCCAACTGCCCACTTTTAGGTGTTAAATACCACCCCTAAATAAACAAAATTCGAAAAAAAAATGTTTTTGTTTTTACTTTTTTTTCTTTAAATCTACAAGAATTTTGAAAATGACCCATATGTAAGTGCCTTTCTTGTTAAATAATAGATACTAAACAATACTAATATACTAAAATATTTGAAGGGATTATATGAGCGTTAAAAATTTTTCGTACAGTGCCCATAAAACATTCTCTTCTATTTTACTTTTTAATTTAAATTATTTTTTAGATAATATTACGTATTTTCTAAACACTCATTTAATTAAGCACTCGCTCGCAAGCTCACTTTGATTAAATTAAATTTGTGACTAAAATAGCGTTTATCAAACTTGATACATAAAATACTAGGTATATGTATATAAAATTCAATCCAAAGCATAAAAAAACGTTTAAAAAACTTTATACACAAAAAATGCTTTAATAAAAATACTAATAAACAACTTATCATTTAACCTAAAAATGACGAGATTTTTGGTTTGTCTCAAAAGGCCCAATATGATAACAACCACAAAGAAAAAAACTGATTATAACCTCAAAATTAGTTTTTTTGCAAACATTAAGGAAGCGTATTCAATACAGTCGTAGAAGAGAAAGTTGATGTGGATTTTAAAAACCTTCAACTCGTTCATAAATGTCAAGAGTATTAATTTGGTAATCGATTAAATCCGTTCGACTTCAAAGTAATGAGAGAAACTTCTTGATGTCAATATAATTCGAATGTAACGATATTGGCAATAGAACAGTTTAACAACCGTATTAACTGAAATTAAAAGTCATTAAAGTGAAACGATTTTTCAACCTTTCACATTTTTCCAATGCCGCAAATTGCTATTATAGGTAATGGTACTAAATATGTACGTAGTCAACTTTCCCTGGCAAAAACCTGTTCCCACGTTGGTACAAAAACAAAGCAAAAACTCACCTTTGGTACCATCGTCGCCGAGGTCCATGCAAACGCCATCCAGCTGCATGTTTTGGCACCGAACTACGTCACTGGGTACTTGGGTACCACCCACACGTTCACTTGTACTTATGTCCAAAACAACGCACGGTTCATTTGGTAACGCGTCGCGAACGTACGGCACTGCTCCGTTCAGAGTCGGTGGTACTACTACTGATGCCGAGAAATCGCGTTCGAATCGCTGCGAAGGTGGTGGTGGTACCGAGTCGGTACCGCTCGGTACTACCGAGACGCGAGCAAAAGAGTCGGATGGGTTTTTTTCCTGTTGGGTGGCAGCTTCCGGTGGTACCTTCGGGGTGGATGACTTCTTTGTTATTGTTTCGCAAGGCTGATTAATGGGGGATTCCATGTCTGAAAGTACGTTTGGTCTATAGCCGCTTTTAAGCCTTTTATTTTTTTGTTGGTAGGTACTACTTTTGTAATTTTTTGTTTATAGTATTTTTTGCATTGATTTTAACACGATTTTTTTTCTTAAAACTATAAGGAAGTTTTTTAAATTTTTGATTATATCAACTATTATATACTTTTTACAATCTTTTTTGAACTAATAAAAAAGATATTTCTATTTCTACACTATACTTAAAGTTCATATTTTTTTGAAAAAATGTTAAAGAATTGACATGGAATCTTTTCCTATATTTGCTTTATTTTTAGTGGGATTTTCAATGGGATCAATATAGAGATGTAAAAAAACGTTTTTTTTCAGATGTGATAAAAAACATTAAAAAACATAGAAAAAAACCGTTTTTTTGTTTTTTTTTTTCAAACATATCCGCTACATATTCTGTCAATAAATAACATGAATCTTAAAAAATGTAGTATTTTTCAAAATGAAATTTTGAGTAAAATGTATATTAATAATAAAGTGAAATAAATATATTACATTTTTCATTATTAAAAATTTTGACCGAGACTAAAAAATTATTTGGTAGTTTCCACATAAGAAACCAATGGCAATGTAAAACTTCTACAATAATCGAAAAAATTAAAGGATAAAAAAAATTTCAAATTTTTTGTGATTTTTCGGATAGCTGTATCTTCGTTAAAAATGGTCGTATTAGAGCCGCAAAAAAGCAATTTGAAGCTTGAAGTTTCTAGTTTTGAGATTTTTATATGAAAAACGTGCAACGCTCAATCCTAACAAATACCGTAATAAAAATTCGAATTATTCGACTTATTTACCAATGAATAAATGTTCTCCAAGAATTTGCTATTGTTTTTATGAAAAAAATTTCCATACTCTGAATTTGAAAAATCATGAATAGAGTGCTTTTGGTGCATACGGAAGCGTCAAAGGCTCAAAGCACTTTTTTTCTAAGTCAAACGTTTGAGATAAAAAGTCAAACGTTTGAGTTAAAAAGTCAAACGTTTGAGATAAAAAGTCAAACGTTTGAGTTAAAAAGTCAAACGTTTGAGATTAAAAGTCAAACGTTTGAGATTAAAAGTCAAACGTTTGAGATAAAAATTCAAACTTTATAGCGGTCAATTTCAAGCAGTTTAGCAGTTCCTTGTTCATTACCTACGCAGGCGTTTCGCTTGTATTGTTTGGTACGCAAGCGCAAATTTTAAGGTTCCACGTGAATCGTGAAACAGTGAATCATAGAAAAAGGATTATTACATTAGTGCAAGTTGGTTAAATTTAAGTGTTTTGATAAGTGTTTTAAAGTGTTTTGGTAGTAATGTAAAGCCTATCTTGTTAGAGGATGGAGATGAATAATGACCTTAGTGACAATGAAGAAATGAGGGAATTTTTAAGAAAAAGGGGTATTAGAGAAATGCACTTATTAAAAATGGAGAATGAAAAGGTATTCATTTAGATTACATTAATTAAATAATTAATTCATTTAATATTTACATGCACTTTCGGGTTTAAATGCGGTACTTTACTCTCCATTTGAGGGGGATTACATTTTTATGTATATTTGGTTGCATAACATCTAGTGGCACTCTTTAATTTTTTTAATTTACAAGATCAAATAAAATCAAATAAACAAGCAGAAGTAGTGTTTCTTCTAAATTTGCTTACATTATGAAAATATATAATTTATTGCTAAATATAATAGACCTATCACATGGATCGGATTTTCGGGTTGCGCGTGAGCGAATAAGAAAGAAAGAAATTGGATTTCGCTTTATCGCGCGTGCGTAACCCATTCAAAGGGGACTTTGGTATTTTATTTATTAGTTTAATTAAAAAGATCCCTATACTTGTAGATTGGCCCAGATGTGATTTTTCATCTGACTGATTCGCAGTTAGAGGAATTTATACCAAGATTAGGCGACAGAATTGCCCTTAGACAATTTCTAAAATTAAAAACAAATTGTGAGGTTCCAAACTCCACGAGAAAGAAACAGCTTATAGATAGACTTCGTCAAAAGCTAGAAACCAAAAGCTGTTTAGGGCAAAATGATATTGAAGGCATGTCAATTAAAAAAAAGAAAACAGGACCTCATTACCAAGACGAAAAACAAATAATATTGGGCTGGATATGTCGAATGAACGGCGAATCTAAATTTAAACAAGTGAGAGAAAGGGGGGGTGGAGGGGCGAGAAAAATTAAAGTTCCCAAACTGGCGAACAAGGAGTATCTTCAAAGAAAAGGAGTTGAACTGTTTTTTCCCGATGGAAAATCTCCCAAAGGAGCATTAGTGGATTTTGATATTGACTTGCTTGATTTTAAAAACAATAAAATTGACGAAGTTACCACTGTGGAAAATTTGTTAGAAAGCACGGGTTTGTCAGTCTTACGATTCTATTTAGCAACCACCCAAAAAACTGATATAGATGAAGAATCGGATGAAGAACGAGTATCTTTGGAAAAAAGTTCATTATTGGTAAGAAACTCTACCTTAAGATCTTAACTCGAGAAGTATTTTTTTATTTTATAGGTAAATGATCATCTGGTGTTAAACAAAAATCCAAACCTTCAACAAGACGATAAGAATGAAGAACGATATGGTCCATTTGAAACCTTGGATGATGATGTAAGAAATATTTTCAGTGGTAGTTTACGCGAACTAAAACCAATTTCGTTCTTCTTATTTTAGGTGGTCACTACTGAATATTCAAATTACCATGTGGTTTTGGGTAAGTAATAGCATTTCTGAATTATATGTATCCAAGTACACTTTTATTTCAGAAAATGATTCTGACGATTATTTCTTGGATGCCCGATCTTTGCCAGACAAAACCACTCAAGATAGTCTGAATGAGCTTATTAACAGTCTCCTTGATAAGAACGAAACTGTGTCTCAAATAACAACAAATGTTCCTGTTAATAATCTTGATGAAAATGAAAGTTTTCTTCACATGCAAAACGATTCTGTAATACCAGACAGATTAATTGAAAATGCAGAGTACCAATCAGAAGAGGAATTTAAATCAGTTAAGGATGTTTTAAAAACCTTACAGCAAAAGATCAATTTTGAAGAAATGAACAAGTTCAATATATTTCGCAATGATATTTTCCAGTGTTGTGTGAGGGCTATGAGGCGTAAAACATTTGATCCTTTTAACAAGATATCTGTCAAATTTAGCGATTATGAGGGAAATTCTGAGGGGGCTGTGGACGAGGGAGGCCCGACCAGAGAAATGTTTCGTTTAGCATTAGAATACTTAAAAGATAGTGAAATGTTTGTTGGGCAAAAGAGAAGGCACATAACTCTTAACCATAGATGCCTCGAAAAAAACTTTTATTTTGAAGCTGGAAGGCTAATGGCCTTGTCATTAGTGCATGGTGGTCCAGGGCCACATTTTTTTTCACCAACATTGTTTTCTTTAATGTTTTATGGGCATGAAAATACTACACCTACATTGGATGATGTGGAAGAAGAAATTCGGAGCAAATTAGCTAAATTAGAAGAATTAGTAGAACTTTCGGATTTGCAAGAATTTGTTATAACTGAAAATATCTTTTCCATTGCTGGTTTCCACTACATTACAAATTTGGATGAAAAAAGTACAATTGTAGCAGGTAAAGCATTCCAAAAAGTTAAAGTTCTTTACAAATAATAATATTTAATATTTTGTATAGGTACACTAAAATTTTTTGCTTTCAAACGTGTTGAAACAGCTATAAATCAGTTCATCGAAGGAATAAAGACTTGCAATATTTATGAATACATTAGACTTTATCCACATTTATTCCAATATTTATTCTGCGAAGAGAAATTACAGTTAACTGCGGATGATTTGGAAAATATTTTTGTAATCAAATATAGTCCAATGGGTTCCAATAAACGTTTGTTAGAAAATCGAGCAGTGTCTTACTTCAGGGACTACCTGGTCGACTGTGAGGGTAGGTTGCTAAAGCTTGGTAATAGTAATATTAAAACGATAATTTATCTATTTTTTATACAATTTTAGAAAACCTAATGGATTTAAATGATCCTGAGCGGATCGTAGATGAGGACGTCGAGACTTCTGTCAGTTTAACCGATATTTTAGTATTCGGTACTGGGGCTGATGTTGTTCCACCTTTGGGGTTTCCGCAAATACCAAAAATACTATTTTTACATAATGAAACTACAACGGCATATAAATATCCCATGGCAAATACATGTGCCCTTGAATTTAAGTTACCAACTTGTCATGGAAGTTACGAGGATTTCAAGGCCAACATGAATTTTGGAATTGCAAACTGCAAAAGCTTCGGTTTTGCGTAAAATAAAAAATAACCTTTCATAATAATAATCTTTCTTTTTGTTCATAAATAATTTTATTTTATATCTTTGTCTGTTTTTGTAAGTATTTTATAAAACGTTGTTTTGTAGAAATAATTTTTTTAGTTTCCAAATTTTATATATTTTTGTTTATGTTCGTTTAAATAAATAGACCAATGTTAATTCGTTTTTTATTTATTAATGTAAACGTAAATAATCTACAGTAGTGTCAAAATTTCATCACGTAGTTCTTTGTAAAGGTTTAGCGCATAAAATGGATCAGTAGGCTTGTCACTACCAAGCTCATCTAAAACAATTTTACACAAATCGTGTACGTCATTGTTACTACAAGGGCAGTCTAAAAAGACACATTCTTCTTCACAAATCTGCAAATGCTCTTCTTCTACTACTATAAGGTGGTCTCTAGAATTATGTATCTGTGGAAAATTGAAGATAACATCTGGACGTCCTGAGGGGCAGTTGCTGTGTCGATTTTTTCTGATCAAATGCATATTCCATTCTAGGACAACGTTATTTAATTCCTCCTAAAAATTGCATTAATGTATATACCCACTTGGCATGTAATATTACGGAAATGTTGAAATATATATAATGTTGTGATATAATTGAAATATGTCAGAAATATGTCGTGCCGTATGGGTATAGAGATAATAATCTCTAGTTTTGGGACTAAACTTACTTGAATAATATCCATAAAACAAAATTGCAATATTGATTTATCTACAATGTTTCCAGTAAATAGCCCATCATCTTTTAACCGGGAAAACAAATTCATCCAGTATTGACCACAATGTTTTCTCAAGATGGACCACCATGACTCAATCCTTTGATTATTTTGGCTGGTTCCATAAATAAAGGGCGGTACTGTGTAAGCGTCAGTAATTTGATTAACTGCTGCAGTTTCATGAAAGTAAATCTGGATATCTTCCACATAACCATTCTCTGTGCCCATGTCAGCCCTTACAGTTCGAGGGAAACCTTTCAGATATCTTACAGTTTCTATATAATATCCTGCTATTACCTTTGGATCATTGTTCGTGCTAGACGCTTTTAACCACAACACTTTTCGAGAATACCCGTCTATGCATCCACTGATGCATATTCCGTACGGCTTTAGTTTATCATATCCGTCCATGTGCCACAGAAAATTGGGCCCCTTATTAAAGTATTGCCTTCTATTTAACTTTCTCTTCCTTCTTAAAGATACACCGTGGGGATCGATAATGTTTAGTAAAAGACGAACCGTTTCTTGTGTAATGATGATTCTGGAGTGCAGGCACTTTAAATGCATCCACTTATACCCGTGCAATCTTCCAGATCCCAGAAGTTGTGATTCCAAAAAACTTATTACATCGTTAATTGAGGTAAAGTTTTTTCGACGATAAAGGTGTAAGCGTTTCAAATGTCTTTTTAATGAAGACTTACTTAAGTAATAGCCATGTTTTATAAGAAACAATAAAATTTCATCTTGTTTCAAACCCAAATGAAACAAATCTGTAACACAGTTATCCAAATAATTCATGTTCTTTAATTTAACACCTATTCACTATAACGAACAGTAATAAACAAAATACAGTGAACTAATAACGACTTATGTGCTTGCAATGGGCCGCTATAAAGTATGCATTTTTATCTCAAACGTTTGAATTTTAATCTCAAACGTTTGACTTTTTAACTCAAACGTTTGACTTTTTATCTCAAACGTTTGACTTTTTAACTCAAACGTTTGACTTTTTATCTCAAACGTTTGACTTTTTATCTCAAACGTTTGACTTAAAAAAAAAGTGCGTTGAGCCTTTGACGCTTCCGTAGGTGCATGATCTGGACTGGAAACATAAAAAATTAAGCAAATGGGAGTAATCTTGAAAAAAAAAACCTAAAATATGAAAAAAAAACCATTTGAAAAAAAAATGAAAAAAAAACCTGAAAAAAAACAAAAAAAACGGACCTTTTTTTTCAAGTCGCATCTCTAGATCAATAATTATAAATTATAATTTTTCACTTTTTATTATTTTATATATGGGTGAATATATTGAGATTTCCCCCAAGTGAAAATGATTATTTTTTATTTTTGGTTGTTTCACTGTTAGTCTAGAATGGGGTTTTTGGGAAGCCACCAGGTCTAGTAAAAACATAACATAAGTGGTTCTGCACTAATGCAAGAAATCATACATTTTGAATATTAGAGCTTCACGGAGGTTAGGATTTCGTATGTTTTTTTTTTAATTATCCCTTTGTATAATTGAAATAAGTTATTGTATCTTTTGACACCTTAATATTTTTTAAAAATACAATTGGACATAATATAGGTATTTATAAAAAAAAAATCTTTTATGTTTTATTTTTTTACCTGCTACGAATTTAAAATCTTTATAACTTCGCTTTTCCTGAGAATTTTGAAAAAAAAGTAAGTTTCACATTAATCGACATTTTTATCCAATTTTTTCCTACTACCTATAATTTGAGTTACCAGCAAAATCTTTTGTTTTTGTTTTGGCCGCCATAATTTTTGAAGTTTGATACAAATTATATGAAATTGAAAAAATATGTACTTTTAAATCATAAATTTATTTAATTCGTTTGGCAAAATAAATGAGAAATTGTAAAAAAAATAATGCAAAAATTTATATAAAAACTAAAAAAAAATGTTTTCCTATGGATTATTAAAATATTAAAAATATAAAAACCAAAATAAAAAAATATTCTATTATATCAGATTTTGAAAATAATTTTTGTTATTAGTAGTTTTCTATTTGTATGCAGGGACGTACCGAGGGGTGCAATGAATAAAAAAAATATATAAAATTAATATAAAAAGATTAAATTTATAAACAAATTTAAGTACTGACCTGTTTCGGGGCCCCCAAAGTCCGTGGGTGCCTCGATAATGACCTCTACTTCGCATCCCTCCAAAGCTCCCCTTAATTGCCCCGTATCCAAATAACCACCCCCATTTGTTCCAAAGGACAAATTTACTTCCAAAGTCTCATCTTCGCCCAATTTAAGCCTCTTTGGGGTCAACATTGCCAAGTTTGAAGTGTCTCCAACACTAACTGTTTTAACAGAGTTTGTCTCTTTTTTCAAGTGTTCGACTATTTTTGTCTAAAACAAGAAAAACACTTAATAGACTTCTGCAGAAGCAAGTAATAAGAAAAAACTAAAAAAACGGGTTCAGATTCTCAATCATAAATATTATGGTCCGTATTATAATAGCAAACAACAGCACACGTGATTAAAGTTTGAGGAAGAGAATTAGTATACGATGGTGGACGGGCAAGTAGGCCGGGTCTGCGGGCTCACGCAATGTTGCCAAACGGGTGAATAAATGGAATGAATAAAAATCAATTTTTGCAGGAAGGAAAATATGCTTTCACCTGATGGAGTTTATAAAATGTAAAAAAAACTCTAATTATGTACACTGAGAGAAATAATCGACCTCCTTTCGTTAAGCAGTTATACATAATGGATTTTTTAACAGTGGAAGAAAAAATAAAAATGATTTTGATTTATGGAGAAGCAGGCAGGAATCTTGATGATGCTGTTAATATCTACGCTCAGCGTTTTCCGGATAAAATTCGATCACGTACTTCATTTCACCGTACAGTCAAGCAGTTTACTGCAAACGGGAGTGTTCAACCGAAAAAAAGAGGTCGTCGAGCAACAGTCACAGGTGGAAATAATGAAATTAATGTATTAAAAAAACAATAAAAAATAACTTACCTCATTCAGACATTTTTCCTTGAAATTATTGACCAACACCTTTTTATTCCTGTGTTGGTAGACTGGAATACGGGAAAGCCGTTTGCCTGCAAAACGAAAAAATTACCATGGAAAATTTAAGTGAGTTGTTGGGAGCAGAATCTCAATAGAAACTGAAATAATAATAAGGGAAATATGAATTGGCTTGAGGCCAAGATTCTTATATTAAATTAGTCCACAGGTTTCGTTACATATTTCAGAGCTTATGTATAAGTTCTCGCAAAATACAACAAAGCAAGGCATTACTAAATATGTATTACAAAACATAGAAAACTATTTTTAAATTATTTATAATAGTAAGAATCCTTTGAAAAATTAATCAAAAGGTTCACGTTTATGGTGCATTTATAATGATGCAAGAAATTCAATTAATTGACATTGTACTAATTTTATTTTGCGTCACACAGTTAATAATAGTATATAAATGGATTACTTTGATAAGGGATTAAGGCAAAGGTTACTTACTATATACGGAGGTTAGAATTTCGTATGTTTTGTTTTAACATCCCTTAATAATTAAACATTTCGTGAGATTCACGTATGTATATGTATGTATGTTATGTATAACTTACTTACCTTTAACTCTCACATTTATATTTTCAAATTCCATTATAGTAGCGAACAAAAAAAATCTGAAAAAAAAACTAATTTGAATAAAACTTCTTACGAAGCAAAATAAATTTTAAAGGTTTTATTTTGAAATAAATTAAGTTTAACTAGAATTATAAAACCGAGTATAAAACAAGGATTTTATTTTTCATTTCATTTAAAAACAAATATACATTTTCTTTTATATTTAGGTACATTAATTAATTTATAAATAAAATGTAAATTAAGATTTACAATCCAATGATAAAATCCAATGGTTTCAGTGACACATCTTAATTAAAATTATAAGGGCCATTTCTACTAAAAATAGTGTAAAGTTCATTTTTTTCTGGACGACGGCAACGTTGCAAATTTAGGGGTTTGATTAGTAAATACGGAACCAAAATTGGTTTGCCCTTGAAAGTTCTGTTACTTTAGAATCTGATATTATTTTTGGCATAGTTATCTTTTTATATCGATATTATATAATAATTAACAAGTAAATTATCAATAATAACTAAACTGTCAATTTGACAGTGTTAGAGTATTTAATTAAGTACCATTTTTAAAATAAATATTAAAAAACTAAATTAAACTGGCATAAGCTACCAACTTAATAAAAAAACACAGTCCAAATAAAAAAAATGAACTGTACCTACCACAGACCTCAAATTTTTTTATAATAAAGCGCCCTGCCCTTCTAAAACAACTTTGTAACGGTTGCTGCCTGGATTAAATAAGGAAATTAGTGGCCTCGCCTTCAATAGCTGGCCATACACAGACGTTATTGCGCGCGGTTTATCGTGTTATCTGCAAAAACATATGGAAAATCATGTACGTGAGTGAGTATCGCCGCGCGAAATGATAGAACGGGAAGGGATTTCAGACGTGCTTTTCTCTGGAGTGTGGCGTGTCCACACGCCACATTCCGCGTCACGGTTTACCTTTGCTTGGAAAAATTTCACGTTGAAAATTTGTACATGATCACATGCAGTTTCAAACGACTCGATAAATGACACTTTTTCCCCAATCACATACGATTTTTCCTTTGAAACTGATATACCACGGGCAATCACTTGCTAAATCATTTGAATACTTTATCAAGTGTATGGAACATGACGCTTTTTTTGCCATGCCGTTCTTTCGTGCATACTAACCGCTACATCCCAACACGCCACGATAAACCGCGCGAAATAACGCCAGTGTATGGCCAGCTAATGTTCGAAATGCTTTTTCATGCATTGTGTCTATTGTTTCAAAGCGAGCATAAGGCAAAATACAAGTCGTAATTTCATGCATTTGTCACACTAGTTTGCATAAATGATTAAAGGATTCAATTGCTACGAACGTTTAATTGCATAAATCGATGCAAACACAAGTTGCAAATGTACAGAGCAGCATTTTCTGTTGCGATATTCTAATTGGTCATTCACTTTCTATAGAAATTACTTTCCATAGAAAGTTAACAAAACCAAAAATCATCAAAATGGCCATGAAAACCATGCACGCAAAGTCTATTTCTATTATGAACAACGAACTGTCAAAATTTAAATGAAAATTCAAAATAGTACTCACTCTAAATCACCCAAAATCCATTATTATCACACACCACACCCGCCAAATTGATACACAAAGCTCCATCGACACCCACAAATTCATTTTCAACAGTCAAACACCCACAGTTACCACATTCACACCAAATAAAACTAAATTAATTACCACACAGCATTCCACCATCTTTGTTGCAAACTTTTCAAACAGACGCCGCGTCACTTTCGCGAAGAACGTCTTGCATTTGTTTATTCATGCGCAAAGGGGTTAATTTTGATTTGTACACGGTTGCCGGGTTCGTCCCGTTGGAAAATCGCGCGATTTTGCGCGAAATTACGATTAATAATCATTAATTGTTGTGTGTAAAGTACTAATGGTATAATGTGTGTGTTTTTAAGCCTGGGGAAGACGTTTGAATTAGTTATCGGTGGTCAAAGTGTGTTGGTACCGTGCAACTGGCAACCCTGTGTTGTACTTAGTAAATATTGACATTTATTGATGGTGGTTAGTGAAAATGTTTCAAAATCGTGTAAATTTAAAGAAATAAGGCTGGAAATTGTATAAAATAAGGTAAGACGCTTATTTTTCGTTCCACAGTACGTGTTATACAAATCGTTTATGGCAGAATAAAACATTATAAACACTTTATTTTAATTAATTTCAATTTCATTTAAAATTATTATGGAAATGCCCATTATTACTTTATTCAATTAAACTGGAAATTTGTTAATTTTAATTAAAAGCATTTGCATATTATGTAGTTAAACATAAAAATTCTATATTTTTAAACAAATTTGCTGGGTTCGTGCTTTGAATTTCAAACTTAATTGATGAAAGCAGTACGAGTACCTAGGTAGGAGATTTTCTCGTTGTGTGTTTTTTAATAAAAAATATAACATGCTTTTAGTCAACATTTTATAATTATTTTTTACAGTAAGAGTTTTTATAAAAAAAACTTTGAAATTTCGCAAATTGCAAAAAGACTAATGAAATAAATTAATAACCTCAAATATAAATATTGTGCCAAAATCTATTATAAATGTTAAGGGTCATTTTCAAAGGAGCGTAGTTTTCTTATAAAGCATTTTTTATGAAATTTACCGTCTATTATAAGCAAAAAACTAATAATTAGGCAACCTATTCACATACACAAAAAATTTGAATGTACCAAATAGAATAAAAGCTGTGTTAGGGACAAGGCTAATTTTAGTGGGGGGTTTAACCCAGTCCGAGGGCGTATGAAATCCTGCAGGATTTTGCAGGATAAGACCCGCAATTTGTGCTACTTCTTTTATTTACGAATATTTTACTCTCCAATGCACATTGGGGAAAATCTGTTTTTTGAGTGGATTTTTTATCCATGCAAAATTTTTGTTTTTTGACATAAAAATAACTTTACAGGCATTTTTAAAAATTACAAAAATTACAAAATTAAACAAAATTTACAACAATTTTTACCAAACCTTTTATCTGTAAGACAACTAGATTTTTTGGAGTTTAAAGTGACTTAAATTCTGTGTTGACAAAGAAACTAAGAAAAGTGTCGAGTGAAAACATTTTCACCTTGAGAAATCTCGCATTAATTTTTCCGGAAAACTTCTTCCTCCAGTTCCACAGTTTATTTACTTTTATAACGGTCGACTTGATTTAATTAATTTTTTTATTGTTTTTGAATAAATAAATAAACAATATTTATTATTATCTTTACAAGGATTTTTGGTTTTCACAGATTTTGAGTTTTTTATACACTTAGAGAAATGAATTTGTTAAATCAAAATATTTTATCCACATATAAAAACTTTGTTTCATAAACTGACCATTTTATAACTAAATTACGTATGGGTGGATTAACTTTGCATTAAAACTGATTTTTAATTCAAAACTTTTCATCATCGAGAAAAGTTGCTTTTGATTATACGAAACTTTAAGTTTTATTTAAATTTAAGTTAAATTTTCATTAAAAAACACTTTTGTATATTTTCGAAGTAATTGCTTATCAAACATTTTAAACGCATTAAACGTTTTAGACTCGCTATCAAATTCCGTGAATTTTATTTCATAGGAAAATTGATACTTAAATTTTATGTCAACGCTTAATAGTTCCATTTTCTGCAAGCCATTTCATTAATTTTAAATTGAAAAGCTTCTCTCAAACGGGTAAGAACAAAACAAAAACAATTTTAAAATAAGAATACAATAATAAAAAATTTAATATTTTAGTATTAATACTACACACATAAATATAATTATGTGATAATTATTACCTAAACATACATTTGGTGCTTAATTCTATCAAATTCCACTAATTTAGCAGCTCTTTCATAATTCCAAACCAAATATTAACTAACACAAGAAACAAACTTCCAAAATGTCTGGATATTTTTAAGAATAGACCAGTCGTACCAATATTTACCAATCTTAGAATAAATATAATTATATTTATATCCAGTATAGTTTTATATCTTTAAGAACAAAATTTGGTCTAATCGATTATTTTATCTTAAATTAAGAATAAGATTATTTCATTTAACGTCTTTCTTAACATTTAACAGGCGAGAATAAGATCAGCTTGTTTAAAGAAAGATTAATATTTAGTTTAATGTTAGTTTTAGCCTTGAAAACATTTTTTCCGTGTAGAAATTAGTTCTTTTTCTGAATACCTTAAAACTGCTGTTGATTATTTTTCGTTTCATACGTCAAAGGACGATAATTTGTCTCGAACGTCAAGTTGCAAAGGACCTCGATTACCCCGGGAGGTTTTTTAAGGACCGCAGGGAATGACAGGATCCTTTTAAAGTGAAACATAGCAGCTGGTTTTGCTAGCTCTCCTAATGCACTACTTTTTAGTTGAAATAAAATTATTAAGAGAAAAAATGTATATTATACGTATAATATATTTCAAACTTGATATATAATATAATATTAAACAAGTTTGCCATATTAATTATAAAATAACAAAACATAAAAAGTTAAGCTTCAAAGGGAGAGTTGATAAAAAATTCAGTGGCGCCTTTATCGATTATGTCTACTAGACATTGTCTAGCCTTACCATATTAGTATAGTATGAGTAATATAATACCTACATAACAAAGTTATTTTAATATATGGTTTTATAAAAAATTACTTACATTAAAAAAAGTTAATAATAATCCAATAAAATTCAAAGCACTTAAAACACAAAAGAAGAAGTCTATATTGTTACCAAAGACTTTTAAAGCCAAAACATACAAGAGTACGAAGACTGGGTCTTCCACCTCAACTAAAGTCACAAAACTGATCTGCCCACAAACAAAACAGGTAGAACTACCTGCTGGCCCATAGACGCCTCACTTGGTTTGATACTTATCATTCATTATACCGCTATACCACTAGTGAACACAACGTAGTGACGTAGTATGCACCTTACACGCTTAGGAGGTCGCTTAATAATTCCTTCTTTTTTTTGTTTTGTTGTTGTAGCTTGAGGAAGTGGAAGGGTGACTAAATTAAATGGCTGCAAGCACGAAGGTTGGTTAAAATTTGTTGGTCCTTCATTTGACATTATATTTACATTTTATATATTTTTTGTCACATAATTTACCTAGAATATTTAATTAATTTTGGAATGCAAGTTTGGCCGCCAAATTTCAACCATCACTTGTGCACGCGTTCTTTTATACTTTTAAAGGGTCCGATACGTTGCGGTCAAGCTTAACGACGCTACCTCGGTTACATATTCTAATTTTTTTAGTGGTTATACACAGGAAACACCTGTGTTTTACATATACATACATAAGTCATTTCGTAAATCTTTTTTTGTTCGAATCAGGTCGTTTTAGTATTTTAGGAAAATGAAACTAAATTATTAATTTAGATACCTATGTACGTATTCAGCGACTTGTACAAAAAATATTGAAAATAGAATACCTAATACTACAAACTGAAAAATAAAATGTCCAATATTGTAAAATTTATAAAAGTTATACTATATTTATACGAATTATTTTAAAAATTGTTCAAAAGAGTAACATTTATTTTGAACAAAATTTTAACAACAGATTTCAACTGCCCTGAAGATTATTTGGCTTTATTATAGTTTTATAGCAACCTTGAAGATCGCAATAAGAGCTTTAGTGTTACTTGAGTCCACAGTCTTTTTTATGAAAATGTAAAAATAAAGTTAAGAAATTTAGATAATAATTAATTCATTTTTTTTACTTTTTGACAATGCAAAAACTTATATACACATTTATTTTGTAGAATGTAAGAAAAAATCATTATTCATATACTTAATTGGTTTTAAAGTGGATCAATTTAGGTGTAACAAATAGGTACTCGACTTGTTCAAGGAAAATCTGCATGTAATATCAACAACTTAATTTTCACCCTAATCTGTTTCAGTCTAGCGGATCCTTCAGCATTTTAATGCAGTCTGTCGGGTGTTTAGCAGTGACAGCTCGTCAAATTTATTCTTAAAAAAATTCACTTGATTTAAGTTTCCTTAAATTAAAAAGATTTTATTTCTTAGCTTAAGGTAGTTGTCGTGGTACAATATTGTCAAAAATTTTTAGATTATACGCACCGTAAAAGTATACGAGCTTGTAGCTAAGTGATTCATAATTTGTTCGCAAGACTGTACCCTGGAGACGTTATTTTTACGTAATACTTTCAAATATTTTCATAAGTTTTAATCCGGCAACGTCGCTTATGCTCAACCAATAGATAAATTGGACTGACTCAGTCCATTTGAATTTACTGCGGAAATAATATCTATACTCGCGTACAGCCTTGCCAAGTTGTTTTTATCTGACACTAGTGATGTATACTTTTTACATATTGTTGAACTTTAAACGGTTATTTATAAACAATTGGACGGTCAAAAATTTTTAATTATTTTTTTTTAAACTCAGCAAAAATACATTAAAACACTGTTAGTTTTTTGAAAGCTTCTGACAGTTAGTTTTTTCTGTATAACTAAGAAACTGGTACAGAACTACAGAAAGCCTATACAATCCATGTTAATTATCCAATTTTTAATTGAATTTATCTCGGGTTATAGACGGTCAATCGACTTCAAATTTTAAGGATATATGTATTGTCATGTCCTTAATAAGTATACAAAAATTCAAAATTTTCTGATGGTATGCTTATAGCACGACAACTACCTTAAAATCAATTACAGTTGAAACAAGATGATTGACCTAATATTGTCAAGGCTAAAACTAACATTAAACTAAATATTAATCTTTCTTTAAACAAGCAGATCTTATTCTTGCCTGTTAAATGTTAAGAAAGACTTTAAATGAAACAATCTTATTCTTAATTTAAGTTTAACAATCGATTAGACCAAATTTTGCTAAATTCCCTCTATTCTGTTCTTAAAGATATAAAATACACTGGATATAAATATAATTATATTTATTCTAAGATTAGTAAATATTGGTACGACTGGCCTATTCTTAAAAATATCCCCCACTCACGAAAGTGTACGACATTTTGGAAGCTTGTTTCTTGTGTTAGTTAATATTTGGTTTGGAATTATGAAAGAGCTGCTAAATTAGTGGATTTTGATAGAATTAACCACCAAATGTATGTGTAGGTAATAATTATTACATAATTATATTTATGTGTGTAGTATTATGTATTGAATTTTAGATGTTGGAGTGATATTAGGTTGGCCGAAGAATCACATAAAAAACAATTATGTATATTTTATCTCTAGATTATAGGTGCGAATAAAAATTTAGGTTAAACAATGTCCTTCAAATAAGTATTCATTTAAATTACAAATAAGAATAAATCAATCCTTAAATAACATATACATTGATTGAGATTATTAATATTTAATATAGAGCACGAGCCGCCACTGGGGTTCAGTATACTCCTTAAAGCCTGGAGAACTAAGCAGCAATTTCAAAGTAGAACTCGCAGAAAATTGCATAAAAGTTCCTATAATCACACAAAAATGTTTCTAGCAAGGGTAATCTCATCGGAAATGTTTAGAATATAAATGCAAAGCCATGTGTGATCGATTTTTTTGATCATTAGTTTACATTTTTATTCACCTAAAACATGAACTTTGGTACTTTAGTATACTATTATAATATCAAAACAGTTGAAGGACTTTGTCTAGAAGTGTAGAATTTCAAATTAGCTTTAACGGCTAAAGAGGCTTAATTTTAAGCCGTATACATAGGCTTTGATTGTATATGTCTAGATGAAATATTTAGCATATAAATAGATTTTTTGTTTGCGTTTTCAATGCCGATCTTTGACCTTTTAATCAACGTGAGGATAGAGCAGGAAAATTTAATCCGTTGTTTACAATTTGAGGTAATTTTAATTACATTTTTTGTCGGTGTGAGTAAGCTTTTGTTTTAGCTCGATTAGTAAAAAAACGTTTGTTTGGTTTTTTTAAATCCAATTTGAACAGATTGGAAATTTATTGGTGGGATTTGGTTAATTGGGATTTCAAATAAAAATAAGCCAAATGATCTTATACGACTACATTTTTACTAAGCATTGTAAAATTACAATAGAAATTTTTAACAGTGTCAAAATATGGGTAGAAAGTCTTGATCATTTATAATAAAGATTATAGTTTTGATCTAGTTTACAAGTTTGAGTTTATCTACGAAAATACTAATGATGTATTTTCCAGGAAAACTTATTTTGTTTTTCCAGGAAAACAATTTATGTCTCTATTTTTCAGGATGTATGTTTCTTTATAAAATATTTGCTAATAAAACAATGGGTATAATATTGATCGATGAATATTTGAAAATTCTTGATATAATTTGAATAAGATTGATGATGTCTTGATTAATATAAAACGCGTTCCCTTAATAAAATATTATATAAGCGAAAAATTTGTACACAAAAAATAAAAAATGAACCTTCACCTCGACAAGTCAGTTAATAAAAAAACTTATTAAAAAACTTTTCTCAGATCTAATTTACTAATAAAACTTTGCTACATGTTACGATTTTATTAAATTTAAAAATTTTCCATCTCAGTTATTGAAATCAAATTCAATGATGTATGGAAACTCGCATCGAATATGTATACGTACTCCAATATTCCCGCCAAGACTTGAACAAAATCTATCCAGTATGTAGAAAATATTTAATTTTAAAGCCTGTGTGTCTATATGAAGTGAAAATGATTATTTTTAATTTTTAAAGCATTGTAAGAAATAATCAATTGCGGTTAAAAATCTTAAAAACAATTTTGTCAACAACTCTTTTTAGCATGTTAAAACACACTTTAGTGTCTCAAATCGCTTGTCAATTTGTATTTAAAGCTGGTGGTAGATAAAAAGCATTATTTAATGCAGAAGCGAATGTAAAATTATGGATTTTTTAAGTTAATAAGAAACCTCGAGAAAGTCAGTTTTTAGGGGTAAAACAGACACTAAAATATTAAATTAAAGAAAAACAAACGCAGAGAAGCTGCAGATAAATTTAATAATGTTGGTTGGAATCCATTGTTTTTCCTCTTGCTCAAGAAGAGGAAATAAAGAAAGAAAAAAAGATGCAACAAAAGTAAGACGGCCGTCTTTACAAATAACAATAAACGTAGTAGAGAATTGATTTTAAGTCGGTGGCAGAGTAAAAAACAAAAATTTAATTAATCGTCGGGAAAATAATTTTCTACAGATACAACATTTTTATATTAGAACTTTTTTGTCATAAAACCAGTATTTTTAAGTTTGATATATTTTTCCTGTTTATGAACCATTACCAAACGATAAACTGTATGTGGGAACTCGTTAACAAGATGTTGCCGCCTAAAAACAGGTTAAACGACTACCATGTTCTTATTATACTAATTTATATACAGGGTGTTCCTTCCTTCCAAAGTTATACAAGTTATAGTGACAAAAAAAGGACTACACGAAAAAAACTTAACCTAAAAAATGATATTGGTCTATAGCATTGTCTTTATTACATATTTTTTACAATGTTTCAAATACCTACCCAACTATCTACCTACATATATAATATATACCTACTGCAATGACCTAATATCACCCCAACATCTAAAATTCAATACATAATACTACACACATAAACATAATTATGTAATAATTATTACCTACACATACATTTGGTGGTTAATTCTATCAAATTCCACTAATTTAGCAGCTCTTTCATAATTCCAAACCAAATATTAACCAACACAAGAAACAATCTTCCAAAATGTCGGGCACTTTCGTGAGTGGGGGATATTTTTAAGAATAGGCCAGTCGTACCAATATTTACAAATCTTAGAATAAATATAATTATATTTATATCCAGTATAGTTTTATATCTTTAAGAATAGAGGGA